ATGTCACTGTACTTCAAGTACTGGCTCCTCAAAGGAAGGGGCTGCATCCTGGGCATCATGATACTATGACTGGGAAAATCAGCTGGGCAAAACTGCCCCATGAAGAAATGAAGTGAAATGAAATGAAATGAAATGAAATGAAATGAAATGAGAGAAGAGAAGGAGAGGAGAGGAGAGGAGAGGAGAGGAGAGGAGAGGAGAGGAGAGGAGAGGAGAGGAGAGGAGAGGAGAGGAGAGGAGAGGAGAGGAGAGGAGAGGAGAGGAGAGGAGAGGAGAGGAGAGGAGAGGAGAGGAAAAGAAAAGAAAAGAAAAGAAAAGAAAAGAAAAGAAAAGAAAAGAAAAGAAAAGAAAAGAAAAGAAAAGAAAAGAAAAGAAAAGAAAAGAAAAGAAAAGAAAAGAAAAGAAAAGAAAATCAACAGTATCTGAGGGTGGCTAGATTTGTCATCCCTGCCTGTGCTGCAGCCTTAGCCAGGGTAAAAGCAGCATGTCCCTGGTTATCTGGAAGGCTGAGGACATGTGTCAGCCAGCTGCAGGCACGACCCAGGCTCGGAGCACTCGCTGGCCAAACCCTGTGCACATCCCAAGGCAGCGGCTGAATTTCAGCCTCCAAATACATTTAAACAATGAGGAGGAACTGAGGACTGAAACAGACTCTTTCCTGTTCTGAAAAAAAATAAATCCCTTATTTTCAAAGGTCTGCTAATATTAAGTTGTGTATTTATCTCCATTCATGCCAGGTCTAGGTGCAGTTGTAGGTTCAGGGACCAGAGCTCTGAGGGTCAAATCACTTATCAACTCTAAAATTTCTGTAATAATTTGTATCCCTCTGAAGGGACCAATCTTTAGGCACAGAAATGGAGCTGACTGAGATCAATAAATTTGGAACAATGAGAAGCAAGAGTTTCTCCAAGCTCTGCTGGTCCTGAGGGGTGTTGGGCTGGGCAATTAAAACCACCTGAGAACTGGCAGAGAGTGGGGGCAGTGGTGTCTTCCATACCCACCTTGGCACATCAGAGAGCTAACAAACACACAGAGATGGTGAGGCAGTTTCCTACCTGTGATACCTGCTACAGGTGTTGAGGTGGCTTCTGGCATTGCTGCTCTTCCTCCTGCAGCACCCTAACCCCTCTCTCTCAGGCTGGTGAAGGGGTTGGAGAAGGCTTTGGTCTACCAGAGCTGAGAGGAGAGCTCTATAACCCAACTGGTTGATACAGGAGCAGATAAGGATGGAGAGAGAGCTCTCGCTGCTTTCTCACTTGGAAAGCTTTCTGGAATAGGATCACAACCCTGGCACTTCTGGTATCTCTTGTTGTGAAAGAGTCAGACCACAGGCTGAGCACATCTCACCTGCAAGGCCCCATGAGATCCAACAGCTCGTGCCGACAGAAGGCTGTGAAACAACAGAAGCCAGCATAGGGCAAGTGCTGCTAAAAAGACCTAAGAAACAACAGCTGGATGCTCCAAATGGGCAGAACCAGAGCAGAAATAAAGGAGCACTTTGAGATGGAGAGCTTTTCCTTCTTTCTAATTGGAGAAAATCTGCCAGGTCTCCAGATGTCAGTACAGTCTGCCTACTTATAGTTGCCCCAAAGACATATCATGGGGTGGCCCCACAGTACTGCCCTGCAGAAACCTCAGACCAGATGAACACAAAGCCTTAGGACCTGCCACTCACCTCCCTCACACGTTCCCCCTTCCCTCTATCCCTCATCTCTACTACCAGAGTAATCCCACCTCCCCCAGTGTTGCTAAAATCAGTGTGGTCCCCCTGAGAACAGCAGTGACCAAAGCTCTGATGCAGACCAGGAATGGCAGCCTCCAGTATCTCCTGCTGTGCCAGCCTAGATGTGCTGCCAGCAGAGAGAGATGAAATACCAGCCTGGGAGCCCTGCTGTGTATCCTCACCCCCCTGCAGAAATTGTACAGCATGCACAAGTCAGCACAGCTCACAGTGGGAACAGCAGAGGAACATCAGCTCAGATGATGGATGATAATCATGCCAAGGCCAGACAGCATCTCCTGGATGGCTGCAGGGTGACACCAGTACAGCGAAGGACTCCTGGTGGCTCTCATCACCCCCTGAGCCCAGCTGAGATAGCCTGAGGCTTGCCTGGGAGCTGAGCACACTTGCCCATGCCAGCCCAGGTGCAGGAGGTGCTGAAAGGTGCCTGCTCCAGGTACACCCCAGAACTACCCACTGTGGCATGGTGTGGAAGGTCCAGAGCCAGTGTGCTCAGCACCACCTCAGCACCTTCCTGCAATGCAGATGTCCTCCCCTTGGCCATGCACCTGTGAGCCTGGAGCCACAGCTGATGGCCAACAGGACAGACAGGTCACAGGGGACAGCCCATGGCACAGCTCCACCCCAGGGCCAGGGCAGTGAGGGGCTACAGAGCCCGTGTCTGCTCACCAGCACAGCCAGCAGGAAGCAAAGGCAACAAAAACCAGCAGGGCCATGAAGTCAGGGCACACTGAGGCACACAAGGCCACCTCCCTGTGGAGCACCAAGCCCCGTCCCACCCCTCTGGCAAACACACTGAGCCCATTCCTGCCTCCAGGAGGGACAGCAGGGAATTCTGCCACTGCCTGCAGCACAGACTGACTCAGCCCACCACCAAAATAACCAACTCAGCGGCATTCAGGAGCAGAGTTATTTCAGCACAGGCTGGTGTGTGGGTGTTCCTGAGGCAGAACAAGAAAGCCTTATTCCAGCCCAGCCACGGAGCTCAGCACAAACCACTGCCTGCACAACTGTCCGGGTGGAGCTCTAAGTGGGCAAGGCAACCAGAGTGGGTAATTCCTGCTCCCTGAGCTCAGGGAGCCCTGAGCACTCTCAAGCTTCAAGGTTTGTATCATCATTGTCCCCATTCCTTGTCCTGGTCACAGGAAGGTTTGGTCTCTATGTGCTATTAGCAAGGATTAATTCAGCATGTTCTGTGTAATGGACTGTGGGTGGCCCAGGGAAGGCAACCTGCTCAATCCTGCTAATGATGGAGAAAGGATCTGACTGCTCCTGGGGGAAACTCATAGCACTGCTTCCTTTTTTTCTAGCATTTTTCTTCATTATTATATAAAATCCAAATGACATCAGACAACCAGAACTCCAAATAACCCCCAGGCAGACATCACTTTAAAGATGACATTTTCATTTGCAAATTGTTTACCTATTATTGTAACTTATAACTTCTACAATTCTAGCAACTGGTCTCAGTTTGTTTTCATTTGGGATAAAAAAATGAAGTAATCTGTAGCTTGCTTCTTTTCTGTATATGGTAATGACCTTTCCTCTGCTAGTGTTTCTCGCTGATGGGAAGAGGAAAGGAAAAACTGTAAACTGAAAAATAATAAGGAAAGAAATGGCACAAAAATGAAGGCTGGACCCAGGGAGACAATGGTGTGGCTAGAAAATAAGCTGGTGTTAGAGAGCATGAATATTGCTTAAACTCACCTCTTTATTGAACCTAAAGGGGCAAATCTGCAGAGGGCATCCACATCCTCCTCACAAATGGGTTCCCCCTGAGTGACAAACATTACTTGCTTCCAGCAGCTGGAGATCCCTACCTCAGACCTATCAGCATCTATGGGAACTTTCAAAAACCATACTTGCCCCATGTGAAAGAATAGATTTGCAGGGCATTGCATTAGCACTCCAGACCCAAATTCCCTCCAGTGCCTCGTGAGACACCACCACCATAACCATCACCTGGTTTGCTCTGACCTGACGGGAACTCTGCATGAAACTGGGTTGAGACCGGGTGAGGAATTAAAGTCAACTAAGCACAGAAAGTTCTGCTGACTCAGACCAGCAGAATCTCTTTTTTGAAAACCAGAGCCCTAAAAAGAGATATGTTTTCCAGTCAGATGCTAGAAAGCATATCCAGTGTAAAACACAATCATCTCCTCATTAGCACCCCTGGAGATTAAAGCTGATTCAGTGTTGCACTTTTTACTGAGCAACCCCAATACTAAAATATGGCGCATAAATAATTTCCTTAAGAAAAGAAAAAGTTACTAAGGAATACAACACTGATTATGGTCTTCTGGGATTTCTGAATTCATCTGACAAGCTTCACATGCTCGTCTAGAAATAACAAATGCTTGCTCGAAATCCAACTCCTTTTCAATCTTACTCAGCCAACAAGTTATGCCTTTTTTATTTTTAGGAAAAAAACACATTAAAGTGATGGAGCATCCCCCTCTAAAAAGAAAATCACATTTCATTTACTCTACACTGATAAAATTCCATTAACGTTTCAGTCAAGTCAGTCTTCTGAATTTTAAGATATAACTCTAAAGGCCCCATTGATGGATTGCTGCTGTACTCAGAAAACATTAGTACATTGTTAAAACGGCGGCAATTACCCAAAAACATCTCGTAGGAAAGAGGAACTAATTTCCCCAAAGGAGCAGAAAAGGCAGGGAAATAAATTATCCCCCCAGTACAAAACGGTTCAGATTTTAGTTCCGAATTCTTTTCCAACTTGCGAGAAATTTCTAAGAGCACACACACGAGAAGTCCCTTGAGCCATTCAAAGTCTCCCGGGAACTTCAGTGACCGCGGCTCTGAATGGGCACAGGCGGGACGGAGCAGCTCCGCTCTCCCGCACCGACCCCGCTCAGCCTCGGCAGGGCTGCGAAGCTGCGCCCAGCTCCCCGATGGCACAGAGCTCACCGGGGCTCCGTGCCCCGCAGGGACAGCGAACGGGACAGCGACCCGAGGGAAGGCGCCTTTGGCAAGGAGACGCGGCTGTCAGTCCCTGCGGAGCGGCGGCGCCGGGACGGGAGCGCCGCTCGCACCGCGCCCAACTTGGACGGGCTCAGCCGAGCGATGGGCAACGCCGGCGACTTCCCCGGCGGACACAACTTCAGCTCAGCGGGGACCGGCCGATACCCGAGGGGCTCCAGGAGCAGGGCAGGGCTGCCCGCCGTGCCCCGCTCCCCTCTCCGCCCGCCCGCCACCGCCGGGGGACCCTCCTGGAGCGCGGCGCCCGCGGACCCACCTGGGCTGAGGCTGCTCTGGAAGTAGAAGAGGACGAGCAGGAGCGAGCCGAGGCCGGCGGCCAGCGCCAGGCGCGGCGCCCGGCTCCGCCGCATCCTCGGCCGCGGCTGGCGGCGCAGCGCAGCGCCCGCGGCCCCGGCCCCGGCCCCGGCCCCGGCCCGCCGTGCCCCGCCGGGCGCCGCCGCCGCCCCGCCCCGCGCCCGCGGCCCCGCGCCCGCCCGCAGGAAGTGACACGGGGCGGCTCAGCCGCCGCCACGGGAACTTCGCCCCCCGAGAGCCCCGCGGCGCCGGCAGCGGCTCGGGCCGGCCGCGGGGGCGGGCGGGGGCCGGGGGGTTCCGCGGGCCGTGCCGTGTCCGCGCCCTGCCGGCGCTCGGCGGTGCGCGCTGCCCTGCCCGGCTCTGCCACGGCTCCGGGACTCCCCCAGGGGAAAAGGGAGTCGCTGGCGTGGTGGCAGGGTCGGGAGTTTCCTGGTGACTTTCCTCCGCGCGGTCAGGACTTCGCAAGCATCACAAAGTTTCGTGGCCTTAAAATACACGTGGCCTTAAAATACACCTCTTTTTTTATTTTTTTTTTTAATATTCTTTTGGCTACCCCCGCCCCTGCAGTCTTTTACTGAAAGCAATAATGCTTCTGACTAATTCCACCTCAAGCAATAAATTTCTGTAGAAGGAGGACACAATTTTCTATGATTCTCGGCATGCTTTTGGAAAGTGAGAGCACCAAGTTCTCTTACTGCATCCTTTATCCCCCAGGCTCTGCAATCACAGGCAGAACCAGCCCAGAGCTTTCGTTGCCCCAGTTTTGAAATAGCAGCAATGCTTTCAACCCAGCTCTTTAAAACACTTGAGATCTACTCAAAGGCCACCTGCCAAATTAGCCAGACCGAGGGCTGGATTCTACTGACAGCACCCATTCACTGCTTCTCCTCAGCCCCAGCACACTTAGTTTTGAGAAAAAGAGGACAGCTCAAGGAGGAGCCACAAGGAGGGAATGACAAAGAAAGCCTGGGTATGTGCACATGCAGGGCTTCATTCTACCCTCATTTACGGCAGAGGAAACCAGGAGGAAAATCTCATTGCAGTGAAGGAAGATGGAATGAAGTAAGAGCACACACAGCACCTTGCAGGCTGTGTTGAGCTATGCCCATGGAATTAAACATCTCTTTGATATCCCTGTTGGATGGTCTAGAGAGGGGCAACAGAAATGAGACTACAACTGGGACCCTAACACCCGTCCTTGCAAGGGCACCCCAGTGTGGAAGGAACCTTGGCTGCAGAGCCCTGTGCCTGTTTGATCCCTGCAGAGAGGGATCTGTGCAGGGAGGGATCTGTGATCTGTTTCTGTGACCTGCAGGGAGGGATCTGTGATCTATTTCTGTGACCCCAGGCACCAGGGAGCAAGAGACAGAGCTCGGGAGTGCTGCTGGTGCCAATGGCTGTGCACATGCAGCCTCCTGTCTGTTGCAAAGGGTGAAGTAATTCTGGCCCCTTGATGAGTGTGGAAACACTTGGGTTTTGCCTCACATGTAAAGATGGGCTGGTAGACCTCAGGGGCAGCAAAAGGGATGTCTGGTACTGCTGTCCTTGGGGCCAGAGAGAGTTCAATGACTGAAGACATGTCCAGCCTGTGGAGTGGGAACTCCATTGGAGTAGCTTTTCAGGAGCTGGAATGTGAACTCAAGACTGTTGGTGAATTTTTCATTATTTGCATCTTCCAGTACTGAAACACCAGAAAATCTAGCCCAAGGTTCCCAGAGGAGCTAGGGAAAATTATCACCCCTTTAGCCCAGCTTCCCTGGATTCAGCAGGAGGAATAAAAACAGTAGAAATAAGCAAATTTCACCCATAGTTGGAAATTCCCATTAAAGAAAATACAGTAAATCATCCCAGTAGAAACTCAAGCACCAAGCAGGACCTGTTGAGTCCTGCTGTCTGTATTTCATCCCTGGGGGCAGGGCCAGGGCCATCTGTGAGCACATCACATATGCGAGGCTGGTCCTCAGCAGCCCGAGGTGAACATGCTGTTCAGATCCACAGGGGTAAACATGGAAGCACATCATGAGCATTTCCTAGGATTCCTATGTGTACTCAGCTGCAAATGCTTCCTTTTTTAAAGGACAAACCCCTTTCAGAAGGAGAAAATCCCTTTTAGAAGGACAAACCCATTTTCCAGAGGGAAGAGGTTATATTTTGATAAGAGCTGACTGCTGGCAGTGGCACCAGCTGCTGGGAGGTCAGGCCTTTGCTGTTGCCTGTTCCTGAGTGGTGACAGACCTCCCTGGTCACACAAGCTGCTCTCTTGTGCCACCCCCCTTCCCCTGCAGCTCCACCATTCTGAAAAGAGCAACCCCAGCCCATTAAGGCAAAAAGTGACCAGTGCTTGCTTGAGAAGATCACTGCAGATATATAGAAGGGCACAAGATGAAGCTGTCAGAGTCTCAGATTATGATCCCAAGCCTATTTCTAATGGAATCATAAGAGTCAGTCTGCTTTGGAGGAGCCCTTCTCTCCCTCCCCAAGCCCCACTGGTGGCTGGAGAACAGCAGGTGCACAAAGCACACATGAAAATACAACTGCTCAGCAGCACACATGAAACAAATGTGGCAAGCACTGATGCCTGGTGTCTTAATCTGTTGATTTGCCAGGTCAATTGGAAGAACTGAGAAATGAGTATTTGCTGTAGAATGGCAATGGCTCCTTCCCTGACAGGCTGTGAACTCCTTGTAGAAGGGGCCCCCTGTTCCCTGTCTCCACAGTGCCTCCCACTGTGGGGTTCAGAGCATGGCTGAAGCTATTTATGACTATTAAACAATACTGGTAACCAAAAATAATGATCAAAAGGTGCTAAAAACATGCTGTGGAGGGAAATTATTTATTACTGCCAAGGTCTGAGCTGCAGCTGGCTTGTAGGTGAAGAGGAAGTGCAGTTTGCCTGCAGAATGATGCTGTGCCTTTGATGCAGTGCATGCTTGATTCCCTCCCTGCTCATTAGCAGTGCTCGTTACTGTCTTCTCAGCAGGTTTCTGCCACATGCTTTGCTTTTTCCCAGGACCTTGGTGCCACTGAGTGAGATTAACCCTGAGCTTTGGTCTGATGACCATGTTGAATAGAAATTAAACAGTGTCTAGTTGCTGCTGGAAACTGAGGAATCTGTTGTACTCCTCCCTGAGGCCCGGCTGTCCAGCCATTGTGAAAAAGCCTTTCTAGAGGATATTTTGACTTTGCACCCAGTTGTTTAATTCTGGAACTGCAGAAGCAGTTTTCCCTGGCCTCCTGCCGGTGAAACTCCCATCTGCTGGTGGCCCTGGAGCACTGGCAGTGCTGATGGTGGCCCTGGAGCAGTGACAGTGCTGCTGGTGGCCCTGATGCACTGGCAGTGCTGCTGGTGGCCCTGGAGCACTGGCAGAGCTGCTGGTGGCCCTGGAGCACTGGCAGAGCTGCTGGTGGCCCCGATGCAGTGGCAGTGCTGCCACTGTCAGTGTCACCAAGTGAAGGCTTGGGCAGAGGTGTGGGGAATGACACTGGTGCAGCACAGGCTTTCCTCAGCAGCTGGGAGATGCTCCAGGGGGGACCATGGGTCATCTCCTCTCTGTTTCCTAAGAACTGCAGTAGACACCTCCCTGCCTCTGGGGCTCCCATGGATCCCTGTGTATCCTGGCACTCAATGCTGTGGTTTAAATTTTATGGCATCACTGTAACGTGCTGGCTGAGAGGGACTTTGCACAGCCTCAGCCTATCCCTGCTTGAGCTTGTTCTGCAAGTTTCGCCAAGATGGACACCAAAGATCTTGCCAAGCAATCCTTTCCAGATTTACAAACCCTCTAAAATTTTCCTAGAACCTTATCTGAACCATTATCAGGGGCTTGGGACATTTAGCCCTGAAAGATAAGCAGAGAGCCTTGTTCTGTCACTTTTATGTATTAAAAGGAAAAATCACTGCTGATGAGAGCACTGAGCTGGAATACTTGCTTTCTCAAGCAGTACATTGATTTTCCATAATTTCCTGTAGCCCTTTGTACCTGCAGAATGTGACTTTTCAAATATTATTCCATAAATGCACTAGTGTTTATGCTCACTCTGCACTGATACACAAGAGCCTTTCTTCACAGCAGCAGAGAGCCATGCTGGGGTGGACTATTCACCATTGACTGCTGGACTAAATATTGGCAAAGTCAGTATAAGACACAGGTTGGATAAAAGGTAAAAATGACATCAAATACCTCTGGAGAGGTAACTGGAGGATTACTATTTACATAGAATATAACAAGATGCTTTGTGCATCTTTTTAAAATCTGCAGCCAGATCAGTAGCACTGATCTGGCCTTGAGAAATCTCCTTGGTCTCAAAAGGACAGGGCAGGGAAACAACAGCAGCCAATCCCCAAAACACTCCACACCCTGAGGAATCCCACTGATGTGGTGGGCATGAGAGTGTACATTGCCTAAAGTTAATCAGCTTCTTATGCCTCATCAGAAAAAAAGTTCTGAGTTTTAAAGTAGTGCATGTAGCACCTGATTCTCAGTAGTCAATGTTGTAGCCTGGCTAACTTCCACAGCTTCTCAACCTTTCTGTTACCCCCTCAACACATAAAAAAGAAAAAGCTAATGACTTCCCAGGGGCCCTTTTTCAATTATCTCCTGATCTCCTCAGAAATCTTCCTAAAGACCAAGGAACTAAAAATGGGGCTGTCTCTTCTCATTTTGGCATGCTGGCCTCTGTCAAAATATATTTCAAGGAAACATTCCTTTAACTTTATTTCTGCCACAATTTAAAAATAAAGAAAAAGAAGCAGTTTTGTTCCTTTAAAAGCACCAGTGGTGAAGGAAGCAAACCAAATTACAGGCTCTAAGGACAACCCTCTGCCTGCATCTACTGGAAATGCTGTTGGTAGGATGGAAACTTTGCACAGAGCAGGGACTCTCACATTCAGTGCTTGTTCTTACAGCCCAATTATGGTGGCTGGGAATGAGGAATTAGAGCCTTTCAAGCACAAACAAAAACCCATGCATTTCAAGTGTCCTCTGGAGGTGGGAATTTTCCCTCTTTTTCCTTAAGCTGTTTCTCCCTCCAAGGAAGAGCTGTATCTGCCCTATCA